GAGAGAGAGAGAGAGAGAGAGAGAGAAAGAGAGAGAGAGAAAGAGAGAGAGAGAGAGAGAGAGAGAGGGAGAGAGAGAGATAGATTTAATACGTCTAATTGATGAACCATATAATTTAAGAGTCTTCAAATTGAAGGTTAGATACAACTGAACAGATTTTCTATATCAAGAGTATTTCGCTTATGATTTGTCCTTCGATTCATTGATTGATTGATGTCACATCTAAAATATCTATGAACTTCTATGCCAAATACTTTTCTTATTCATTTGCCGAATGAATTTTTCATCAATTGTGAATGCTTGAATTAGCATAAAAGCGAAAAGTATTTTGTTGGTATTGCTAGACTTTATGTAGAGTCTTACATATTTTTTTTACTAGGGAATTTGGCGAAAATCCTTTTCTAACTTTGTCATAAACTGAATTTACGTGATTCGACTTATTTTAATTTTTATTTTCAGCAATAAACAGTAAATATTAGAGTCTAATATCTTAAGCTTTGCATTCCAAGGCTAAACGAGTGAGACTCTATACGGGAATGCAAAAAATTCGAACCTGAGTCCACTCAGTTTACATTTAGTTTCAGTTTCAATAATTGTTTTTAAAGTGACAAATTGAAATTCAATTTAGAGAATGCCAAAACTATGTATATTACGTCTCAAGATACTAAGTGTTTTCCTATTTGGGCACGTGCATAGAGAAACGCTTGGCGTCAACAACCACTTGAGTTTGACACGTTTTCCTCAACAACTGAATTGTTCAGCCTATGATCTACTTTTTCAATTAAAAGTCTGCTTCATCGAAGAACGAAAATTGAAAATCAATATCAATTTGTGTTTCATTTCAACAATTTGCAAACGTTGCTCTACCACAATATAAGTTTATCCACAAATGGAACTTCAGACCCAACCCAGAAAGAAATCAACTATCGCAGCTCAAAGTTGTGAAGCTCTGCAAGAACACTCGTTATATGAAAAATTCCTTAAATGTTGGATATGATCTTAAATGATCTTATAATAGTTGGATCTACCATTATCGAAAATGAAAATGTCAATTATCATTCATATGAAACTGATTAATACTGAACTAAAGTTCACCAGGGGAAATATAGATATTATAAAAACTAAAGTTCGATAATATTTTTAATCGCTTTGAATGGGAAAAACTTACTAGATCACGTAATAAAAGATAAAGTTGAAGATGAAGATCGGCAGATGAACAGAACTGAATCAACTTGAATGTTGTGCCGAATCAAGAATATATAATATATATATATTTATACTATATATATAAAAACAAGTCTGCTTTTGTCAGTTTTATAGATGTGAATAAACTGAACTTGCATTTCGTATGGTATTCACATGACAACCAAAAACGGAACTGATAAAAATGTAGGTAGAGCGGCTGAGTGAGAGACATAGCAGAAGAGAAATCCCAGTCAAATGTGATATTATTATAATATTTGTGGTTTTATTGTGAAGCTCGAACCACCGTATGGCATTACGTATTCAAATGACCCACCCACGCTTCGCTGACAGAGAGCATCTAGCGTAAGCTGCAATTTTGGATGACTCATGATCCATATCGTGTCTCGATTGTTGACCTCCAGCTCAGTCAAACAGTGAGGCTTGTGTGCGCTGGGATTTAACGCAGATCGAGGAGCGTCAAATCGCACACGATCGCGAATCACAGAATCACCCAAACTGTAAAAAAAACAAATTTCCCTTAAAGTTCATCATCTGAATGCCTATCTTATAATAGAATTCTTGGGTTTAGTATACCTTAGTCTAGTCAGCCTATAAGATGAACTATATTATATACATATACCTCATGAGCTAACTGCCCCATCAAATTTTCATTTTAAAATATATTTTTCTAAAACAATTTCCATAAGCTCATTAGATTGCAAAATATATACCAATATAATATTAATATGAGCTTTGTCTGATCACCCCATCAATCTGTCATATATACCATATAGGTATATAAATGATAATGGAACTAGAAATTTCCCGTTCAAGTTTACATTCATATTTTTCATGGTTTTTTCAGGAAAAAAAAATAAAATAAATTCCCCTACATTATTTATTCCCATTTTCAGTTAACCTATGAATCGTGATGTTTATGCCAAAATATTTGTGAATTTTCAGAATTGTTTAGTTTTATATATAGGTATATATATGTATGTATATATGTATATATTTTACAGTTGCTTGTTTAGCATTTGCATTTGCAGTGCACTGAAATTTTTAGTGGGTATTTAAAAGAAATTTACGGTACACATAACGCCGTTCGTTCTCTTATCAAAGGAAGTTACTTTACTTTTGCTCAATTAGCAGATAAGGAATAATCGTAATATAGATATATGCCTATCTGAACTTGACCAATCATCTAATCTCTCTCTCTCTCTCTCACTCTCTCTCTTTCCCTCCTTATCGCTTGCAGCGCCCGATGCCTATGTTGCGCTCGACACCAAACTCGCTTATATCAATCCTGAGCGGATAGTCAGGTTGTCGGATGCTGGGGAGGAGCTGCAGCGGCGGCGCCGTGATGCACCAACGGGCACAGCGGACGCGCCGCCCGTACTGGGCGCCACAATGGATGCGAAGCATCAGTACCAGAGCGTGAGCACCAATGTGAATGCGGTCGGAAGCGTTGCAGCTGCGGCAGATGGAGCCACAACGGTCACCACCGTGGACAGCAAGGCCACGGCAACGGGCAGCGTTACCTACAACGTCCACAATGTGGGCGTCAATGGCACGGGGCAGCGCAAGGAGCTGGGCAGCAGCGGCGGCGATATTGCCAACAGCACCAATGGCACCGCCAGCATCAATGTGGCAGCGGCTGTGCCCAGTGTGCCGCCAAAGAAAACGCAGCTGATGCAGCAGCAGCCAATGCCATATCCCAAGAAGGTGGCATCCCAAGCCGCCCAGTCAACGACAACCAGCAGCACCACAGAGCGTGCGCTGATCGACGATGTCGATGTGTCCGACGAGGTCATCACCAAGGAGGCCAACAAATCACAGCTGACCCGGCACGAGGATCACTACGACTACTATCGCAGCCTGCTCTACGAGAACAAGAACGAGACGGCTGAGATCTGGTCACAGCTTCGCAATATACCAGAGAACAGTATGCTCTCCTCCTCGCATCGCCGTGCCATGACCGTCGAGCTGAAGTTCGGATTTCCCTTCTACGGTCACTATGTGCGCAACATAACCGTGGCCACCGGCGGCTTCCTCTACACCGGCGAGTACGTTCACTCCTGGCTGGCGGCGACTCAATACATAGCACCGCTGATGGCCAACTTTGATACGAGCATGTCGGACGATTCGTTTGTGCGGCTACAGGACAATGGTGAGTCCAGTTGCAGGCAATATCTAGTCTTCCTCTATCTCACTGTTTACCTTTGGTTGTTGCTCCCGCCAGGCACCGCCTTCACCGTCGTCTGGGAGAACGTCACGCTCCAGGATAAGCCCAATTATGGCAAATTCACGTTCAGTGCCACGCTGCATAAGACTGGAGACATTGTGTTCGTCTACTACCAGCTGCCCATGCTGATCAACAACATACAGGATAATCAGCATCCGGTCAAGGTCGGACTGTCCGATGCCTACATCGTGGACAAGATGCTCTTCTGTATGTGCTCCAGCTATGCATTATTATATGGCTTAATCAAAGAAACTAATTCGTACTCTAACCACTCCCAATTCAGTCGCTCGCCGCAAGACCATCTATGAATACCATCGCGTCACATTTAGCCAGCATGAGATCACGAATTCGACCATTGTCGTCCTCACTGCCTTGCCCACATGCCTCGGCTACTCCGACTGTCAGGCGTGCATCAATCACAATACCACATTTGAGGTGAGCTGCCAGTATGGCTTTCGTTCTGAATTTGAAACTAATTCGTTCCATTCGATTCGTTCCATGGGCCGCAGTGCGTTTGGTGCCCCACGCTGAATCGTTGCTCCACAAACACTGGCAACGATCGCAGAAAGCAGGAATGGCAGCAAAAGGGTAAATCTTAATGTGAATCTTAATGAAGGCAGTACAATCGGACATCGATTGATCTAAGTTCATGGCGACTTTTGTTAATATATTTATTGCTGATCAGGAAATGTTTATTTTCATGACTAAATGAATTTAAACAGATTTAGTAGCAGAAAGAAAAACACAAGAAGAGTGGGAAAAACAGACATAAGTTAATTTTTTTTATTGCCAATTAAAAGTTAAAATAAAAAATATTTATTGCACATCAATTTTCATATAAAAATCAAATCAAAATTTTTATTTTCAATTTTGTTAAGCAAAAAGAGGTTATACATTTCATTTATTGTAACGATTATAATATAAAAATTTATTTGCAATAATTATTTTTTATTTATATCATTTAAATTGATTTTTTTTAATAGAATAATTCCTACTTTTACAGTTTTTTTTTTATAAAAATTATAAACGCTACGGTCCCTGACAAAATATTTAACAATCATTATACCCATTAAGGCTTACAAATGTAGCTTACACATCTTGATAGACTTATCAATGTATATTCTAAAACTTTGTGTTATTAATTACTCAAATTCCTAAATATGATCAATATTTTTATGAAAGCTTAACGAATGTTGGCGATCTTTTTTGAGGTTTATCAATGTGTATCCCAAAATATTTATCAGACTATAGTAAGTCAACTGCTTAAGGATTATCAAAATTATTTATCAAGCATTACACCCATTAAGATTAAAATGTTTATTTACGTGAGAAATGAGATGAAGAAGAAGAAAAAGAAAATACTTAAGAATAACATAAACAATTTAAATGAGAACAGAAATTATGATAGATCAAAAGTGTAGTTATTATATTATCAGTTAATATAAAAATTAATTAGTAAGAGAAGGGAAAATAATACAAAAAAGAGCGAGAAAGAAGATTGCATAGGGCAATCAGTGCGAGATGTGCTAGGCTACAATTCTCGATAATTGATCAATTTACTATAATTTGCTATAAACTCGCACTAATTATATCCATTTGCAGGCTGTGATCGTTCGATGATTAGCAGCAGTGATGCTTGCCCGGCGCTCGGCCAAAAGGGCAACAATGCTGCACAGGAGAATAGCAGCAGCAGCAACAACAACAGCAGCAGCAACAACAGCAGCAACAACAGCAACAGCAACAACAATAGCAGCAGCAACAACAACAGCAGCACCATACCCAGCTGGTCGCCCGACGGCAACGGGTCAGCCGGCAGTGCACCGGCAACGGAGCCAACTATTAGCAGCACACAGCATCCGTCGAGCGGCACATCAGCGGCTGCTGGCGCGGCCGGCGATGGCGTCAATGCCGAGAAGAGCGAACATCTTGGCGCCGCGCTGCCAAAGAATAAGGATGTAGGCGTGGCCGTTGGCTTTATGGTGCCCATTTGTCTGGTGTTCGCGGTGACGCTGTGGCTCTTCTATGCGTACCGGAATCCGCACACACGAAGCGGCCAACTGCTCATTCAGGTGAGTCGAACCGTCAGCCATTGGCCGGCCAATTAATTAAATGCAAACTAAGCGATTTCCGTATATTTACATGCAGTCCAAGCATTTACATCAGGTTTGTTAACTAATCGTTTAGCTCCTGACCTTTGCCATTAACCCAACTGCCTTGTCTCTATCATCTGATTCTGAATTTTATTAATCGATGCTCTCTCTCTGTTCTCTTGCACACAGTTCCGTCCCAGCCAGTGGTCATGGCGACGCGGCGAGGCGCGCTACACGGCGGCCACGATACACATGTAGTGCAGCGGAGAGATATAATCGTGCAACTGTAGCGTGTCACTGGGATGTAACGTGTCACAGACGTGACAAACTAATATCAGTAACAAAATCTCTGCCCCCGCCTTTCCGCCCCATCCTGCACAGACGCCTTACCTTCCGCCAGCACCCGATCAGCAACTGCAACTGTGACTTGATATGGAACATCAAATTGAAATCTTATGCATATATATGTATATTAATGCATAAATGTATGTGTACTAACCGGGCAGCTATCGATAATTCTCTCTGTTTCTCTCTCACTCTCTCTCTTAACAATTAACGAAAGCGTGTCTAAACACAATAACAATTGCAATGGAAATATTTCAATTTAAGCCGAAAGAGAAAGAGAGTGCGAGCTAGAGAGAGAGTGAAACATAACAGTAAAGTATTTTGCAGCTCTGAGAACAGTAATTAGCAAGAATAAAACAAATTGAAATTTAAAGAAACCATAAAAAAGACAACAACAAGACAACAAATACATTATTATCCTATTCTCTGCCTAGTACATTTTATAACTGTTGTGTAAGGACAACATTGCTTTAAGGATAATTTGATTGAGTTCAAGCAAGATGCTCACCTTGTCTATTTCTTCTACTTCCTCCTATATGTAATATCCGTGATTTAGATCCCTCCCTGTACCTTTAGTTCCCACCAAAAAGCTATACATATATATATACACACACACACACGCATACATAGACACGGGGCACAGTGCTTTCAATATAGTAGTTCAATTGTAAAAAACATTTTTTCTGTTTGTTTTTTTTTTATTATTTTATATATATTATATATTTTTTTTTATAAATATGTATGAATTTGTTCTTTTGTGGCTCTAAATTTTCAATATGTTTTAATTGCAAACCTAAAGTATAAAATTTTAATTATATTTCCCTTCGTTTTCTTTTTATGTATTATATGAGTACTTTATATGGATGTATATGAAGCACTTGAATCTATATATATATATAGATATATACATACATACATATATACATATGCATATATATATATATCAAAATGGATATATCCAAAACGACCTCTTCTTTTTGTTAGCATATTTTCTATTAATTAATATTATAAATATACATAAATAAATAATGAAATAATAATAAAAATGAAAAAAAAAAAAACACAAGAAATGCGGTAAACAAAAAGATAAACTAAACACATAATTGATTAAGTGAAATATTAAAAACAAACAACTAAAGATCTACAACAAAAACGTAAGAAAAAACAAGCAACTAAGGAAATTGTATAACAATGTATTTTGATAATGAAATTAAATTTGTATTTTAAGCTCTTATTACATATACAACATAATTTAAATAAAAACAAAGAAAAATCAAAGCAAAGATTATTTTGATCTTGAATTAACAGTCGCTGTACTGTTAAGCCTGGAAGGAGCGTCTTTTAACAGTGGCAGGAGTTGAGCTTTCTTTCCGATTGGAAATGGACATTTGCATTTATGAAAATAACCGCCTGCTGTAAGCCTTACATTACCATTATGAGTTTAACAGTGAGTGTAATGCAGTTGCACAAAAAAGAAAACACTTTATTTGCTTTACATTTTCTTTTTTATTTTGAACTAATTTTGGTCATTAGCTTAACTATATGCAATTGCTAATGTTGTAAATTGTTGAATACTCGTTATGCAGTTACATTTGCTTATACATTTACAAGGTGGATTCAGCTATTTGGACTATATAGGAAAAACCGTTGGATTTCATTTCATAATGCGGATTTGGAGGGGGTAACTCCTCATTAACATTTAACAGCTGCAACAACAACAAGCCTGGTTGGTGGTTGGTGGGGTATTTTTGATCTTCCTTCCTTCTTTCCGTTGCTTCTTCGTTTCGTTTCCTGTTTGTTGTCTGTAAAATATTTACAGTTTCTGCTGTGCCAGCTCCTCAATGGTGCGCGCATTGGTGAGCGTCACCCAGAGGGGCGACTGAATGCTGGCCAGCGAATAGCTTTCGGCGGCGTCCAGCGACTGTGATTTGCGCATGGCGGCGGCTGTTGAGCTTTTGCTGCTGCCGCTGCCGCTGCTGGCGTCGGCGCTGGCGCCATGGCGACGCTTCGAATCACGCTTGCCGACACCAAACGCAATGGCCGCTTCGCTGGCCTGGCTGCTGCTTGCGGCGCGCAGCTCCTGCAGGCGACTGCGCCGTTTGGCCAGCGCCGCGGTCTCGCCAGATTCGCGCACGCTGCCCGCCTTTCGCAGCGGCGGCGTCAGCGTCGATGACATCGAACGTGGCGGCAGCAGCTGCATAGCCATGGCTGCTGTCTGCGGCTGCGCTGTCGGCGATGTCGACTGCTGCTGCTGCTGTTGCTGCTGTGCTACTGCTAACTGTTAGCTCGAAGAGAAGGACATCTTGTAGGAGGTGGTGTCCATGGGCGATTCGGGATTTATGATTTCGGTTTGTGTCTGCTCCACGTCGCTGCAGCGCTCCTCCAGCACTGTGTCCAGCTCCACCGAGGTGAAGCCCTGGCTTAGGCTTCGTTCAGGACGTAAACTGATAGCTCTCGACGATCGGTAATCTAAAGCAATCGAAGCAAACACAAAACGGAGAACAGAAGAGAAGCAATTAAAATTAGTTAAAATGTCCTTTAAAATGCAGGTGGCAAACGAAATGGAAAATGTTTAAGTGTGAAATGAGCGAAAACTCTCGTGTGGGCAAAAACAAATTGAAAACGTGCGACGAAAAGATCGAGTTTAAGTTTAATGTGCATGTCTAAGCGTGCAAGGTACCCAAACCACCCAATCGCTGTCTTACAGGATGTGTGCTTAATGGTCATGTTAATATCAGCTTCATGTTACATTACAGCTATATAAAGCTTATATACGCTAAATGGTCTGAATATACCTCTGTTAAATGTTAGCTATAGCCGCTGTTAAAAGATTCACTCTGTTGCAGCTTGTAGTAAAGGAAATTTAATTGCCCAATGACTGGCTTGCCAGTAACATAAAAACGTGTTAAAAATTTAGGCATTTCAACAATTGTGTATTATTTCGCTTGGCCGTCTAAGCAGTAGCTATTGCTGTTATGCATATGGCATATTCAATTTACAGCTCGGTTGTTAAGGTAACGAAATGTTTGTTGTGGCTCCTTAAGTGACTGTTTATGATCATTAACAGCGCAAGCATTGATGGCGGCTGTTAACCCAATGTTAGGCTTGTCCAACTGCAGCTTAAAGCTATGCAACATAAAACTCGCTCAATTTAAATGTCTCAAAGCATTAGGCAGGCGCCATTCTGCCTGTTTATTATTGCCTAATTTACATGGAGCGCACCACTCTGCACTGCCTGCTATTGTTACTGTTACTCTGTCGTTGGCTGCCTTTTGCGCCAAAGTTATTGTGGTTCTCGTGCGGTGCTTGCGGTTATGCGTAATTGTTTTCAAAATTTATGCAAAAACCTAAATTTGCAGCCATCAAAACATTTGCTTGTCAGAGTTGCGGGCGGGGTGAAGGGGGCGCGCGGGGCTAAACAAGTGTAATTTGCGGTTTGTCAACGTTTCGTTATCGTGTCACCTACATCATCATCAGCATCAGCATCAGCATCATCATCATCATCATCTTCATCGTGTGCAACAACAACAGCTTCATCAGCATTCGCTGTTGTTGTTGGCCCTTCTCAAAGTGGCAGCAAACACCCGCAGCCAGCTACCAGGCAAACACTGAATATGAAATTTACGGTTATAACAAGTTGAAGTGCACTCAGCGAGTGTGCTCGACTAGAGAAATACCCTGTCTATTGTGAATCTTGAAACGATGCGAGAGTTTTGCTTCTATTTCCTTTAGGCTCTTCTCACTACAGTAAAGGCAATCTAAAGGGAATATATGAATTTGAATTGGAATTTGAAATGCATTCTTCTTTTGTCAATCTTAATTAACTGAATTTTAACTGACAATTGCAACTAGAGTAGGGCCTGCCTATAGAGACAATATGAATTTCTGAATTGGAGCACAATTTTAGTCCCTTTAATCTTAATCTAAATCTTAATTGACAATTGCAACTACAGTAGGGCCTGCCTATAGAAAAATTTGCTGAAACATGATTTCTTTGAATTGGTATTTGGGATTTGTTCTTCGTTAATTTGAAAAATCGGAATCTTAATAATTATAACCACAGTATGGCTAGAAATATGATTTCTAGCTTTTGAATTTGCTTTGGATTTGTCTTTTGATAATCTTAGCACTCACTTGAAACATAAGATTATTCAGATTATCACATCAATGCATTCGCACTAGGCAGGCTCTACTGTACACGACTTCCGCTAGCATCATCTGACTGTCTCTGTTACTCTTACTCCCACATATGCATACAGCTCCTTCTTATACAGTGCCAAATGAGCTACTCCAGCATAGCCACCCTGTTCGCGTGCACAGCTAGCAAAATACCCTTTATTAGGTATATATTTAAGAACAACAACAACAGCCACAAAAATTAAAACTAAAGAACGACAAATGTCGTTGTGCACTGTGCATGCGTGCATGAAGCCGACTGAGATTCTTGATTAAGGTAGACAAGGGGCACGCGACGCTGGCTAGAGGGTAACCAGGGGTTGGTGGAGGGGGGGAGGGGTGTTGGTTGTGCGACTCGAGTGAAAAGACGGGTTTCATTTTTGTTGTTCATATGCAAACGAGGACGAGCGCCCAAAGGTATGCAATGCAAATGCAGGCGGCCGTGTGAGCGGAAAACGGGGGGCGTGGCGACGTGGGCGAGGTGGGCTACAGTTTAACAGCTGTGCTTGACACATGCATAACAGCATAAATATCTCCTACTGTGTGTGTGTGTGTGTGTGTGTGTGTGTGTGTGTGTGTGTGTGTGTGTGTGT